GGCTGCCTTTCTAAAAGCTATGATACAGCTCACACACAAGTGATGGGCTTGGTGCAGGAATTACCGGGGGAGGATCTGTGGCCTGCGTTATGCAGGAGTCAGACTAGATATGGGTTTGTCTTCACTACAGTGTTATAACTTGAAGGTTGCCTGTAACTTGAGTCCGGGCTACATGTAAAATCCTTAATTCGAGTGTAGGGAGGCTTTTAATTTGAGTAGCAGGTCCGCGGGGGGGGGGGGGTACTGGCTAAAGCTCAAGTTGGCACAACTCGTCAGATGCTAACCCCGTGAACTGTGCAGCTCGCGTGTTATTCACAGAGTAGCCGATCTCACCTGAACTAGGCTAACTCAGGAGGCGTTAACAGGAGTGTAGATAGCTCTGCAGTGAAGACAGCCCAGGACGGTCCTAAAATTTGCACACGCAGCAATTATTACAGAGATTATTCTTTCAGTGACTTGTTCGGGGCTTTGATACCCATGTTACAGGCTCTGAGAGGTTTTATTGGTTACTTCCACTAGATGGCACAGCTTTATTAGGCCTCTTTACTTCTGCGGGTCAGACTTGGGGGAGCCCAACTTATTGTGTGAACCTAGAGCCAGCAGCTGCTGTTCCCACAGTGGGCTATTATGTGCTCTGGAGAGATAAATAAAGAACATTGTTACCTCTCTGTTCTGGAGTCTTCTTAGCGAGGCTGCTAGTGTTACAGTAAGAAGACAGACACTGTGATCTTCTCCTCCCCTACACCAAGGGTTTAGGCCAAATTCTAGCACTCCTCAGTTCTCTCACCCCCAGTCTTAATTGTGCATCAGATTCCAGCTGGCCACAGCCAGGCCTTTGGGCCCTGTAAAGCCCATGGCTGTGGGGCCCCTCTGACTCGGGGAGGCTGGAATGTAAAGGAGACTCTCAGCTTTTGGTTAGGAAGCTCCTTGCCCTTGGGAAGGCAGCCTTGAAAATGTAAAGCATCGCAAACCAATCTCAGGAGCTGGAAGGAACAAGCAGCTCAGCTCCACTCCTGCAGGGCCAGGATTGGGAAGGGGGCTGGAAACATGAAGATCTCCAGCACGCATATGTGTGTGTGATGGTTACTGCGCCACACAATGAGTCAGCTACATGTGGGATGCGTCTCAAAGAATGATCTGACTGACTTTCCCCAAATCCTCAGCCTGGCATAGTGGGGTGATGATGAAGGACAGGAAACAGCTCCAGTGAGGGGATGGGGAATTGGTTTACAGGCCCGCCTATAAAATGCTACTTTGGCTGCGCAGCTGGGCATTTCCCCACATTCAGCCTCTCACCCCAAGTACAGTGTCCCTTCCTGGAACAAGAGTAAGATGTGTGGGATGCATACTTGTGAAATGCATGGACAGTACTCCCTAGTCCAGAGGTGGGCAAACTACGGCCCGCGGGCCACATCAGGCCCATGGGACCATCCTGCCTGGCCCCTGAGCTCCTGGCTGGGGAGGCTGTCCCCCACTCCCCAGCAAAGCCACGCCGCCACACGGGCAGCGCTCTGGTAAGCGGAGTTGCACACTCCTGCTGAGCAGAATGGCAGCGTGTCTGGCTCCAGCCAGTGTGGCAGCCAGCCATTCTGCTCTGCATGCTCTGCTCTGCATGGTAAGTGGGTCAGGGCCGGGGCGTTGTATAAGGGGCGGGGGGCCCCGGAGAGGCAGTAAGGGGACAGGAAGCAGGGGGCGGTTGAATGGAGCAGAGATTCGGGGGGGGAGGTGTCAAGGGACGGGGAACAGGGGGTTTGGATAGGCATGAGGTTCCAGGGGGCCTGTGGGGGGGTGGATGGGGTCAGGGCAGTCAGGGGACTGGGAGCAGGGGGATTCGATAGGGGGTGGGGTCCCAGGCAGGGGCAGTTAGGGGACAAGGAGCAGGGGGGGTTGGATAGGTCGGGGTTTCTGAGAGGAGCAGTCAGGGGGCGGGAAGTGGGAGGGGTCGGATAGGGGGCAGGGCCAGGCTGTTTGGGGAGGCACAGCCTTCCCTACCTGGCCCTCCATCCAGTTTTGCAACCCCAATGTGGCCCTTAGGCCAAAAAGTTTGCCCACCCCTGCCCTAGTCCCTGCTCCAGAAGACCTCTCTCCTCCCATTTACAACTGTCCCAGGCTGGCTGGGACTGCCAGAGATTTTTAAACCCGCCTCAGAGGGCAGTGAGCTACACCCAGAGGCCTAAAGAAAGACTGAGTAGGGATTTGTTTGTGTGCTTGTTTCAAATCTGTGTTCCTGACAATAGAATGTGAGAGCAGAGCCAGCCAGCAGCAGCAGCCTTTGGCTGAGTGCCTCCATCCTGCTCCCTGCATCAGCTCCTGTGTACTCAAATGCTAGAGAGAAAGTAAGTGAGGCAGGATTCTCAGTCCCAGCTGGCTCTGCACAGCAGCAGGATCAACAAGCACAGTGGAAGACTCAGCTCTCCAGTTGCAATGCTGCAATAAGAAATGGAGGAGGCAAAGAGAGTGGAACAAACAAAAGGGGGGGAATGGGGACAAAACTGAGGGGGAGGGTTAATAGGAAGCCACACAGTGAGGGACAGCAACATTGCCAACTTGCAGGATTTTATCCCAAGTCTCACAATGTTGATGGTGGGTTTTTTTAAAGCTCCAGCTCCTGGAATCTTGTGATTATGTGTGCATTTCAGCTGGGTTAAAAAAATACATATTTCTAGCCCTCCTGGTTGTGAAGAAAAGCTGGAAAACATGAATAAAAAGAACCCAACATTTACTACTTTTTGAAATTCCATTATTTTAAAGCCAATCTGACAAGTTTGTGACCTGACTCATGAGATTGGGGTTGGCAATAGTGAGCCAGAAAGACAATGGCACATAAAGGCCCAGGAAGGGTGGGTGAGGAGAGAATAGGATTTTAAAAACCAAGAGAAACTGGAGAAAATGGGTGCTATCAGTTGGAGAAACCCCACATACTCTCATGGGAAAAGCCACTAGAGTCAGATACAAAGCCCTATGCCCACCCCCAAACAGGGGGAGATGTTGGGGTGGGCATATCTCATCCTTAAGATAATTCCCACTCCAAGACATTGAGAGGTAGGGAGAAGCAGGGTTTAAATTCAGCTGGAGCTGTCTGGAGCCGAGCTCCAGTAAATATTCTCAAACCTTGAATCCAGCCTGATGCTGTTGTGGTTCTCAACTGGGGGTCTGTGGCTCTCTGGGGGTCCACGAGCTGATTTCAGTGGGTCTACAAGGCCCTGCAGGGCTGAAGCCTCTGTGCGCCCCCCCTTCCCACAGGGCTGAAGCCCCAAGCCCCGGCACGCCCCATGGAGAAGCCTGTTAGGAGAGGGATTTGTGTGGCTAGATGGTTGTTGGGGCCTTTACAGCGTTAGCTATGGATGCCTGAGCCACCACCAAACTTGCCAAATTAGGATATTCATATGAAAACCATCCTAAAATTCACCAACATGCCTACAACCATCCAGCAGCCTAGCATCCCCCAGGCCCCTAGCTTCTCTCAGCATTGTCCCTGGCAACATTTTGACAATACTGACAACTACACCTGCTAGATCTCCACTTTTGGGATAGCTGATGTGGGCTTGAGAAGCAACTTCTGTGCACTTTGTGGTGAGGAGGCAGAATCAGGGCAGGTGACATTGACGTGGCAACATCTGCTGCAGCTAAACGTACATGATAGCACGTGAGATGCAGGCAGAACTTTCAGATGGCTTGAGTCTAGGAACGAAACAAGTTCACACCAATCCACCGGCTGAAAACCAGCAATGACTTCCCTGCCAATGCACCGGGAAAGCCATGGCCAGAGGAGAGAGGAGGGTGGTGGCACCTGGCCCAGCACATGATGCAAGCAGCCTAGATGTGGGAGAGGGACTGCCCCTTGTGTCCCTATGAGCCTCTCCCACCTGTTTGTTAGGAGCTGGTTGGGGCAGCAGTGCTGGCAAATCTTGTCCCCTACTTGGGTAGTAAGGGGGTGCCAGGGGCAGGCCTGGGCCAGGCCCAGGTCTAGGGCAGAGGTAGGCACTGTAGGGCTGGCTGAGCTGGGCCTGCCTAAGAGCCTGTGGGACTAACAGCCAGCTTTGATCTAGTAATTCCTCAGGGAGGCAGAGCTCAGCCTCCTCTACAGCCAGCTTGGCCCCGCCCCCACAGTGTAGCCACGCCCCTAGCGACGGTAGGTGCCACCCCCTGACAGTGACCTCACTCCCGGGCTGTGCTCCCCCCTCCGCCTCTCCTCCGCGCCCTCCGACCCCGCCCCTCGGCCCCGCCCCCAGGCCGGCCGGTGCTGGCTCGCGCCGGGACTCACTCGCCCCTCAGTCGCGGTGGCCGAGGCAGCGGCGGCCATTGGCCGGGCCCGGCGATGCGGGTAAGGCTGCCCCTCCCCCCGCGGCGGCCCGGCGGTGACAGGCGGGGTCCGACCCGCTCCCCTCAGCCCCTGAGCTCCCTGCGGGGCGGGGCCAGCAACCGGCATCTATCGCTCCTGGGGGTCCGTCCCCCTCCCCCGGCGCCGGCGCGCTCTCGGGTTGGGCAGCGCGGGCGGGGGAGGGACCCGATGGCCCATGGGGGGGGCCCGGCCGCGACAAGGGGCCGCTGCGCCGTGGGAGCCCCGAGCCGACCCGATCCGGCCTCAGCGGCGCTAACTGCGGCTGCCCGGAGCGCGCCGGGCCGGGCCCGGCCCAGTGCCGAGCTCCGCACCTTGTCCCGGGGCCAGCGCTTCACCCGGAGCCCGGCCGGGCGCGGGGGCTGCCCGCTGGACACGGCGCAGAGCCGGACCCGCCCGCCAGCTCCCCAGGCGCGTCCCGACCGTCACCCAGCCCGGGCCCACGTCCCATCGCCTCCAGGGGACAGCTGGGGAAACTGAGGCACAGACAGGCGTGGAGCCGGGCGCAGTGACACTGCTCTGGGTTCCCGCCCCTCTGCCATTGCACACACGGGGAATAAAGGAGGGCGCAGGCCTGAGCGAGCAGCCCTTTATAGGGCACTTTCTGCCGGAGGTAGAGAGGCGGGTCAGTGGGTTATTCCTGCTGGTGAGCAGGAGTCCGATGCATTGGACAGAGTGCTAATAATGTGCTCTCGTGCACAAAACCACGGACAGGCAACTAAGGAGAAAAGGGACTAGCAGAAAAGCCTTACACACACTACAGTCGTGAATTTCACCACATAGCTTATTTCCCTGCATTTTGATTATCACTTGAAATATACCTGACCAAACTTGTTGCCAGGGTACCACAGAGCATGCAAGACAGCTTATGTTTTTTGTCAATATGATACTATCAATTTTTGTGGATCACTATTACCTATTCTCACGGTCAAGTTTCTGAGTAAGCTTTAGTATCAAGCCTAGCATGGACTGAGCACCAACAAAGTCTTCTGTTGATCTTTCAATTATTGTTTCACTTTTAAACATTTTAAAATTAAATCAGAGCTTTCAAACATTAATATCCAAGCTGAGAAATTCAACCTTGCACTCCTTTAGAAGTCAGCGTGACCTCTAAGCAATTAAAAAAAATTAAAGGTACTGTACCTCCCGTAGAGTCCTACTGCCAATGTTTATAATTTTACAATCCTGTCCCTCACATGCACACCCATTTAAAAAAAATATATTTTTCAAACTATTGCTCTATGAAGGACAGATACAAAAGGCAAAACAGACTCCAGGGGACATGGTGAAACTGACTAGGTACAAAGTATTATCAAATGTGAAATAAACAAACCTCAGATGGATCATTTTTAAATTGATGTCTCTAAGTTTCTGTTTTCAACAGTATAATACTGTAATGTATTTGTTTAAACATGAACATTTTTTCTTGCTTTATCGGTTCTCTTTTCTTAGCTTTACACAGGCATTATCACAGATGTCTTTATTTATAATCCTTCCTTTGCAGACTGAAATCCGCGGTGGAACAAGAGTCAGACTGAATAACACACACAATGTTGATGACTGGGGGAGAGAGTGAAGGACATACTGTTCTTTAGCATCATTATTACAGACTGTTTAAGACAAAATGAAGATCTTTATTCTGATTTGGAAACATTAGAATTTAAGCATCTGAACTACATTTTCTGTTTTCTACCTTATAAGTTTTACTAGTCATCCCATATTATTGCAGTAACACAGAAATGCAGGACCAGCAATTGGTGGAAAGTCCTAGCACCATAGAAGCATTAAGCTGGATGTCTTTGAAAGATCTTACGGCCAAAGTGAGTGGTATGTCTCTCAGTCAGAATAATGAGGGAATTGATGAATGTAACATAAATGAAAGCAGAACTAAGGAAGATACAGTGGAACTTGAAATGCTGTATCAGAGCATCCCCTGGGGGAATGGTAGAGGAAGAAATTGTGAAGGGTTTTCTGAGAGCATTCATTGTACATCAGAATCTAACAGTTCCTGGGGTGATTTTGAAAGTTTCAGTGAATCCTTAGTCAAGTCTGAGAGCATCAGTCACACTCCTGAAGTTTTGGTGAATTCAGCAGAAACAAAAACGTCTAAAACTGATGTGGAGTTACATGGAGAACATTGCAACTCTTCTCATGGGCATCACTGCTCCAAACCATCTGTACACAATGGGAGGGAAGCTAGTGCTAGTTCGCAGGATAAGGTATGTATTGCTAGTAAGTCAGAGACTCTGCTAAAAGTTTAATTGTTGTGCTACAGTTTCTTTGGGGTACTAGAAAGCACTTTCTGCAAACTGCACTTTGGGAGGATACACTTTTAGGAGGGAGGATAATGTAATTGAATGCAAAGTTGAAGATTATGAAATGTGATTCTTTTTCATGAAATACTTTAGATTAGTATTTTTATTGCTATAATGCTTAGAGGCCGTAATCAGATTGTGTTGTGCTAGGCATCATATCAACATAGAGTAAGCTATTGTACATGCTCTAGGGGAGGGACTTATCTAAAAAGACAACAGCTAGAATATGTGAGAGAGGAGGACAGGGTTACAAACATTTTATATATTTAAAAGCAGAGATTAGTGGTATGCATAATTCTTAGCCAATTATATCAGTGATTACAACTCACCACCTACCTGCGTGTTATCAGATGGTAGTTTTCTGAATGTGCTATGCCAGAAGTGAGTTTCGAGAAGGGATTGAGTGGGTGGTGACTTTATGGATTTTGACTGGGAATTTTACCCAGGAGCAAGAGGTAGCTTGGGAGAAAGCACAAAGTTGCTTGTGGGAGAAGTGGTGATTGAGGCTGGAATCACTGGCAGAGAAAGGTGGGAGTTGCCTTATGATAAAACACTGGGATTATAGAGAGGGTGGCTCTAAATTGTGGATGGTTTTGAAAATTAGGACAAGAAGACTGGGTGTGGTGGGACAGAAGAGAGGGGAGCATAGGGAGAGATAAATACACATTACTAGTTACTCCTGGCCAAAACAGACCATACCAAGTCATTGGATTTCTCTCTAAAAGAGGACATTTAAATCTCTTCTGCTACCAACATCCTACTTTAATCTGTATGCTTAACCAAGGCAAAGAGATGTATCTGATACCTCATAGTTGAGTGGCACACATCACTTTGAGTTGTGTGTTCAGTTTCAGGGCGGAGAGACAGTGATGGGCTATTGAGAATTCCCCTTGAATATATAATGTATATGAAAACAATGTAATTTATCCCTCACTTCCCCCTACAACTGTAAGCTCTTTGGGGCAGTGACTACATCTTGTGCGTGGAACATACCTAGCACATTATTGTTGGCAGCAGTGACAAATAGTAATAGTTTGAGACAGAGCCCTTAGGCCTCAGGATACAAGTCAAACAGCAGTTTCCTGGGCCTATGAAGAGACTTCCTGCCTGCCCCTCCCCCCATGTTGTTACCTAATTGTCAGTTATGACATTTTATACCTTCTTCTGAAACATCTCCTATTGGCCACTGTCAGACAGGATACTGACTAGAAAGACCACTGTCAGCCTGCACCCCAAACTCTGCTTTTCCTCCAGCATTTATAATGGTGTTAAATATCAATTAAAAAACACATTTTTATATAAGGGGGGAGTCGCACTCAGAGGCTTGCTATGTGAAAGGGGTCACCAGTACAAAAGTTCAAGAGCTGCTGGGCTAGTCTGATATGGCAATTCCTCTGTACCTAGCCTTAACAAAGTAACGGATCTGAACTCTGACGTGCATTAGACGTTCGTTATAATTATGACAAAGCCACAAGATGAGGGAAAATAGGCTGGAGTTGAGTGTTAGAAATAATGTAACTAAGCAGATAAGAAGACTATACATAGAGAGCATCCAGGAAAACGATAAATAAGTGTATTTGTACTAACTTACCTTTATCTGATTATACGGTTGATTGGTGGGCCAGCTCACTGGCCAGTACGCTGAAGAAAGCTCCCAACAGTGACATAATTTTAACATTTTCTTTCACAAAAAGAGTTCAGTATCAACTCAACACACCTTTCATAGACTATCATTCCTTCATGAAAGTCAAGACCTGCTGCCTGGCCTTTCCTAAAGCCTCTCCCCTGTAAGGCCTCTAATCCCTGCAGCTGTCCCCTACCAGCCCATCCACCTGATTGATACACAGCCCCTCCCCAGTCTTTCCTGACCCACTCTCTCCTCTGACTGAGCAGGTTCCCTCTTACAGGAGGGGCTTTGTCACATGACACTTGGTCAGCCATAGCCTTAAAACAGCGTGCTGTTACATATGCACAACTGCATGAACAATTTCCCCAGCCACATGTGTGTCTATATAGATGATTTGGACACCCCAACAATAACCCTTCAGGCAAGTTAGCTCATCTGGGTCTATATGTTAGGAATAAATCTCCCTTCTGACAGTATCAGGAGTTTGTGGGGAACCTAGGACTCAACACCATTCCTTGAGACTTTCTAGGCAGTTCAGGCTCATCCCCTACATAAGCCTTCCACCAGCTCCACTGAAAGGGACTGAGCATGTCCTGTCTGACCAAGACTAGTCTCCTGCTCTATAGCTGTAAAATAATGTAGAAAAAAAAGAAAAGAAAAGCTGCCAGAGTTTACATTCCTGGTTTCCAAGGTGTCACTATTCAGTCTCCTACAAAACTGTGGCTAAGATGCCAACTCCTTCACACCCCATCATGGAACGCAGTAAAGAATGATACAAGATGGTCCTCTGCCCTGCCTTCCGCACACAGAGGTGGTTTAAAAGGAGACAACTAAATAGTTTAGTCCCAAAATTAGACCAGCTTGGAGAAGGTTATAATTTGGTAGCGAACCAGCTGTAGATTTAAACTACACCTCTACCCCGATATAACGTGACCCGATATAACACGAATTTGGGGGGAGGGGGGCTGCATGCTCCAGCGGATCAAAGCAAGTTCAATATAACGCGGTTTCACCTATAACACGGTAAGATTTTTTGGCTCCCGAGGACAGCGTTATGTTGGGGTAGAGGTGTATTTGAATTTAAAAAACATTAAATGGATAGTGTCAAGTAAGAGTTAATATTTTGAAAAGTCCCTGGACTAGCATTTACTTACACTTAAAACTGCATTTTTTAAAATATGTTTTAGACAATATGTATGGAGATATGCCTATCTCATAGAGCTGGATGGGACCCTGAAAAGTCATTGAGTCCAACCCCCTGCCTTCACTAGCAGGACCAAGTACTGATTTTTGCCCCAGATCCCTAGGTGGCCCCCCTCAAGGTTTGAACTCACAACCCTGGGTTGAGCAGGCCAATGCTCAAACCACTGAGCTATCCCTCCCCCCATTGAAAACAGACTAGGGAGTTTCACTTTCTGGTTCTCATGCAACTACAGCGTTTGGGTGGCAAACACACTAAAGGAATATTGCAATCCAAACAAACTTTTTAAAAATAATTAAAATAATTCTATCATTCTGGGCAAAAATGGAATTAAAAGGTCAAAATCAAAACTTTGGAGCAGATAGACTGAGCATTTCTAGAACAGGGCTTGACTCTGCATATCCTTACTCGTGTGAGCAGTCCACACTCCTGCAAGTAATCCTATTAATTGCACTGGGACTCTTTGCATGAGTAAAAGTCATTCATGTGGATAAGGACCTGATCCTCCAAATCCTCAGTCATTATTGTCATAGGAGGAACAAATGTATAAGTTCTCTCTTCTGGTTCTACACCAGCAATTAAAGAAAAACACCATTTCACATGGCACACACAAGGAAGTAAACAAAGATTCATTTCATTTTTATTGGATATCCTGTAAACTGTGTGCATATAGTTAACTATTGACTACTTATATAATGTGAATATACCTCATTTAATTGAATGTATAAACATGATGTATGCGTATCTACATCTGTCACATACTCTGAGCCTGATCCTTTATTCAAGCAAAACACTTGTAGATTTTAGTGTGTGGTGTGCCACTACTAATGGGCTTTGCATCAGGCTTAATGTCAATGGAAAAAACTCCAATTCACTTCAGTAAGCTTTGGATCAGGTCCTGTGTGAACTGCACGATTGGCCGCCTTATGAGGTGTGTAATAAAACTCTGCTTTTTCTAGGCCAATCTCAGCTATGAGGATATTTTTAAGTTGAGTTTTCCAGAAGTCATTGTACCACAGTCCACAGAGAGCATAAGAAGCTTAGATCAAGTTCTTGACACAGATAATGAAGACATTGGGATTCCTGAATTTGCGAAGAGACAGCTTTGGTAATGAGTTTAAATAAACATTCAAACACCCGGCAATAATACTGTTAATTTTTCTGAAAGAAGAAATTGGGGGGAGGAGAGTGGATTTACTTGTTTCAATTTAAAATAAACTATTTCAGTTGTTTAATCAGGACATTAATTTGATCAGATTATTGGGTTCAGAAAGGAAATGGGGTTGTTTTTCTAGTCCCTGAAAAGCATAACGGTCCACCTATCAGTGGTATTAATTCTTTTTGTAGAATTAATACTGCTTTTGGTAGCACTTCTGATTACTAAATTCCTGGACTGCTGGACACCAACAGACAATGTATTCTCTCTGTTGTCAGCATTCCTTCTCTTTCCTGCATGTCTGTGTTGTTTCTCTTTCATCAAGAGTAGCAACACAGGTCCTTCTTTCCCAATCATTGGTACTTTTCTGACAGCCTCCCAATAATTATTGCTCCTCCTGTTAAGCTACATGCTCTCCCTAATCAGTGGTGCATCTGGTTTCCTTCCTGGAGATTATGAAGTTAACAGCAGTTTAAAGGGGTAACTTGGCTGTTAAATCTGCTGGAATGCTGATCAACTTGTTACCTGTTTTTGAAGGATTACTGCTTCTGCACTAGTAGCAGTTCTGGTTTCTGCATACATCTAGAACGTTGTAACTAAAAAGTGGGCTTGGTTATTTGTACTGTAAATTAGTGAAGGTCCAAGGATTAACGCATGCAATAAAATAAATGTTTTTATTTAGTTTTCCCTCAGTAAACTCCTCACATGCCCACCAATCTGATCAGGTAGCTTACTGTTGGGAAAGGAGAGAGAGAGAGAGAGAGAGAGAGAGAGAGATTGATTATTTTTAATTCTTGGAAGGCACACCAATATTATGGTGCTATGTAACATACAAGGAACCTAGATATTCTACGTGACAAACTACCCATGACAGATGTTAGCCACATTGCTTAATGCACTACTGGAAGGCACACAGATAGTGTGGTGATGAACATGGCATAAGAACCTGAATAGAATAAGTAGTTAGGCTTCTGCAATTTGACATCCTGATTTAGATGCCTAATTCTTTTCCTCTGTGTTTCCTTGGAGCTGGGCCTTTGCTTTAAATACTGTTTGAGCATCACAGAGAAGGAAATCACACCTACCCAGATGAGACCAAATATGAAAGGTAACCCACATGAATATCAGGCTGGCTCAATGCAGCCCGAAAGCTGAAATAAGGAAGAGGGTTGAGTGACACAGACTAACCAAACTGTAGGTTAGCTGCCTTTGAAGAGAAATAAGTAGAGCTCTGCTTTGTACCTGCTTGCTCTCCACAACATGAATTGGACACCACCACCTCTGGATCATGATTTTTCTAACGCATATTTCCTGTCTACTTCTACTCATTCTGGAGATATGTGGGCATATAAAGCTCTCTCAGACATGCTCTTACTGTATGGCTATTTATTTGATGAAAAAAATCATGCACAATTTTTTTGCCATTGCTTATATCATTGAGATCATGCATCTTTGTTAGCAAGTTGGATTGATGACTTGGACAAATAATTCTAAGAAAGTCAGTTTCCATAGTAGGTGGTTCAAGGTGTACCCCTGTACAGTTGTCTCCAGGGAGGTTGCATTAGAATTGAAAATTAGATAATGGCTTTATATGAGGTATGGGCTCAAGATCATTGATTTTGTTTGGAAATTTTCTATGAACTACAATTTCAAGTTGCATTTCTTTTCTAGCATTGACTCTGGAAACCTCTGGAGAACTCTTAGACACCCCGATAGCACCACGGGTTTAAGATGTCCCTGGAATAAATCCCACTGCCAGGAAAACTTCTTATCTGCTCTTGGAATAGATATAAATCAAAAGGTAATTTAAAAATATGTTTGGCTAGAACACCACTGTAAGTGTTTGATTTAAACTTGTATTCATTTAAGTCATCCAGGCAGAAAAAACATGTGTCAGTCACACAGCTGCACTAGGAAGTGTATTTTGGTGGATCGCAAATGCTAATGTCTTCAACTAGGGCCTTTTTGATGATGTAAGGGCTTGTCTACACAGGGAGTTATTCCTGATTAATTCCTTGTGTGGACACACTTATTCCAGAATAATGGAGTAAATCAGGAATAGTTGTTCCACTTAAATTCACACCCTACTTTATTCCAGATGAATTGTCATGTGTAGACAAGCCCTTAGTTTAAGACTTCTCTGCTAAGATGTTATAACTATTATAATAATGCAAAGACCAAATTCTGGCTGTCTTTGCCAATTTATAGTAGAGAATGTATTGAAGTCTCTGTTGTAATGACAGTATGTCACTTTGTTTGGAATCAATTTCTGATTTAGTTGGCAGAGTTCCACACGTGTAGGGTTTTTTCGCCTACTTTGAGGTGGAGGAGTTATCAGAATTTATACAAGACATTATGGGTTCAGTCCAGTGCCCAGTGAAGTCAGTTGACTTGACTTAAGTGGAAATTGGACTGCTCCTTGTGAAAAATGGAATCAGTTGGTCCAGTTAAGTTCTGTATGCTTGAATATCTGGCTTAACTGTACAGGTTGGAACACAATATTCAGTTTGCCTTTACTCAAATCATTTCACCCATTTCAGGATTAAAAAAAATAAATAGAGAAAACATGTTTTAAATAAATTCAAAGATTAAAAAACAGCAACATTTTAAACTCTCAAAGCAGAATTGTTACTATTCAATCTTTTTATGTTGGAAAGATTAATTGGAGGTAGCTTTTTATTATAATCACCTGTTTAGTTAGCACAAATTTAATCTTCTTGCTCTGCTTTTCAGAGGTAACGATATCTTCATTAATAGTTGCTGTTAGGCAACCATCAGGAAAGCTATTTGAAATTCCTGGTGTTACCTGATTAATCAACCTTTCACATGAGTTTAATCAAACAAAATTGCAGTGCTGGTTAGTCATGCAAGACCTGGTCTACACAGGAGTTATACTGGTATAATTATGTTGGCTAGAGGGGTGATTTTATTTTTAATTGATATAGTTAGAGCATTACTATTCTCTTAGTGTGAATGCAATTATATCAGTATGAAGGCACCTATCACAGGCTAGGTACACCCCATCACGGGGTGTCAGATCATGTGTTGTCAAAAAAGGGAAAAGGCTGTACCGCAGCCAGTTAGTTCTTATGTTGATGTCCCTTACTATGAATGTGGTAGTGTGGCCAGCATCAAGAGCATAGCCCTCCCACCCAGGGCAGCATGGCCCAATGGTCAGTCAATAAAGTCACCCCACTCTGGAATTAGGTGGTCCGTTGGCCCATTGGTGAAATGGGGCACCACTCGGTGTATATGGCACCTAGGGTAACAGGACTCAGGCCCTCCCTGCTCCTCTGAGCCCCAGCCCAGGGCCTTGTGGTGGTGGGGTGCTCCCGAAACATGCTGACTGGTTCCCTGGTACACTCACTGGAGAAGAGTTTAAGTTCCCTGGGCTGCTTCCTACCCTTTCTCCCTCAGTAGTGCTCCATGGTTCCCCCAGGTCTCTGGGGTCCTCAGGTGGCGTAGTTCCTGCTGGCACGATCTCTTCTCTGGGATCATCAGACAGCCTGGAGTCCATCTGGAACTCTGCGTGCCATGGCTCTGCAGTTGGAGCCTGCAGTCTGTATCCTCCCCCTTCAGCAGCATGCCCAGACTGAGTTGTGCTGCTTTCTTTTATATTCTGCCTCCAAGCTGAGCATGCCCAGCAGAGTCGGAGGGGCGGGGCTTCCTCAGTTTGCAAAGCACAGTTAACCCTTTTGGGGTTGGTGTGGGATAGGTACACCCCATCACAGCACCTTATACTGGTACAGTTAGCCCTATTTCTGTACGGGAATAAATATACTGGTATAAGATGTCTTTATGCTGATATTAGAGAGACTAGATGGGTGAGGTAATAACTTCTATTGGACCAACTTCTGTTGGTGAAAGAGACAAGCTTTCTAGCTACACAGAGTTCTTCTTCAGGTCTGGGAAAGGTACTCGCTGTCGCAACTAAATACAAGGTGGTACAGATTGTTTAGCATAAGTAGTTAACACATATATCTAAGACAATGGTTCTCAACCAGGGGTACATATACCACTCGGGGTACATAGTAGTCTTCCGGGGGATACATCAACTCATCTAGATATTTGCCTACTTTTACAACAGGCTACATAAAAAACGCTAGTGAAGTCAGTACAAACTAAAATGTCATACAGACAATGACTTGTTTATACTGCTCTATATACTATACACTGAAATGTAAGTACAATATTTATATTCGAATTGATTTATTTAATAATAATATGGTATAAATGAGAAAGTAAGCAATTTTTCACTAATAGTGTGCTGTGATACTTTTCTATTTTTATGTCTGATTTTGTAAGCAAGTAGATTTTAAGTGAGGTGAAACTTTGGGATACCCAAGACAAATCAGACTCCTGAAAAGGGTACAGTAGTCTGGAAAGATTGAGCGCCACTGATCTCTGGGACCATTCAAAGTGAAGTGGCTTATTATTACCTGTGCAGTCATAGGACAAAAAATGGGGGTTATGGGACTGCAGGGTGTTGTAATAAGCCATAATTCCCATGTCTTTATGATTTCTAGCAAAGTTATGAATTTAAACTGCCAGGCTCGGCTTTTGAAGGTGTTGTGCAGATTTCCTTTGAGGATGAGGATTGAGAGATCAGATATGGAGTGATGATTTTGTGAAAAGTGTTTGCCCACGGGTGATATAGTGGTTTTGTCTTATCTGAGGGTGTTCATTTGAGAGTATGATCATCTAGTTTCAACCACATAGTTGTTATTGGAGCACTTTAGTGCACTGCATGAGTAAGGCTACAATTTTGTCACGGAATCCCTGACTTCCAAAGACCTCTGTGACTTCAGCCCGCAGCAGCTGTGAGTTGCAGGGTAGGTGGCAGGGCGCTGGGGCTCCCAGCCACCAGCAGCAGCGAGGGTACCCAGCAGCTCTCCGCTGCCGCGGGGGGGGGGGGTGAGGGTCAGGTGTACCCCACAGTCCCCAGCTGCCATGGGCAGCAAGGAGCCCACACAATTCCCCACTACCGTGGGGGACAGGGGAATCCCAGCTGGGGATCCTTGCAGCCCCCAGCAGCTCCCTGCCACCACTCAGGGCAGGGGTACCCTCACAACTCTGAGCCCTCATGAGTGGTGGGGGCCCCTAGGCGGCCCTTGCAGCTAGCTACCCAATGGCTTCCCATTTTGTCATGGATATTTTTAGTAAAAATCAGGGATCATGGCTTCTGTGAATTTTTCTTTATTGCCCATGACCTGTCCCTGACTTTTACCAAAAATATCCGTGACAAAATCTTAGCCTTATGCATGAGGTACGCCATGAGTTGGGATAGACATATGCAGTACCCGTGGACTTTGAAAGGTGTGTTGTGGGGTTGGGGGGTATAGCAATGGAGATTTATCTGCAGGTTTTGCATCTGTTGTTATGGCAGGCAGAAGCGGATTATGATTTACTGGGACCCTGGGCACAAAGAACATTTGGGCCTCAGACTCCTGGAGTGGCCCAGGCTCCCTGGGCAACTCCTACCACTGCCTGGCTCTGGCTTCTGGTCTGACCAGGAAGTGGGGCCTCAGGGGGAAGAGGAGAAGCAGGGGGCAGTGCCACCATTCTGGTGCCAGTTGCCCCCCTACTTCTACCCAGGCTCCTGTGGGGGCCCCCCAAATGGCTAGGGCTCCTAGGCATGGGCTCATGTGTTAATCCGCCACTGATGGCAGGATCGGATGCTGTTTTGAGTTGGTGGGTCCTTGTCTGTGGGAAGCTTCTGAAGATGAGCTTTGAAGGCCAGAAGAGGGGGTTCAAGCAATATTTCTTTCAGGATGTGGTCTCCACCAAGTATGGGTTTTAGTTGTTTAATAATACCCAGTATGGGTTCCATTGCGAGGTGGTAGGTGACAATTAGGAGTGTGTGGCTGGAGGGTTTTTTCTGTATTCAAGCAGGTTTTCTCACATTATACTATATAAGAGCATCCCTAGTAGGGGGTGGTACCGCTTTCGTGATACTGGTACAGTTAAAATGGAACAACTTTCTCGTGTACACAAGGCCTCACCCAAAAAGACAAAAAAAAAAAAAAACTAGTAAGAGTAGTCTCCAAGCAACTTTTTAGGCCACAATCAAGCTGTGTGATCCAAGTGGACAGAATCTTGCCCCAGCACAGAACTGCACTGAAGTCAATGAGAAGTAGGTGGCGGCAGGGGATACACATTACAGATCTGATTATAGGCCAGGGGTTTAGATTGCAACTTCCAAAAATAAAGTTAAACGCCTATTTGCTTATTAGTTCTGAGAGGGGGACCTTTTTTCAGAGGGCCAAAGCCCATTCCTGAATAAAACATTTCTGACATTGATGGACACTTAATATTATGAAGAGTGTTTTAAATTATGCTCCTTGTTTATTAGAACTTCTCAGGAGACAGCAAAGATGGTTTGGAGGAGACAAATGTTAAAATAAATGAAGACTTAGAAGATGGATTCAATATTAGTAACTGTAAAGCACTAATTCAAACCAAGGTAAGAGTTGTTCTGAGGCAAGTACATTAGAGAGATACAGGTCTCATTTTTTACATGTCCCTGGGTGCTGTACAGACAGAGTTGTCAGGATTTCCCCTCCCCCGCTGGTGTTTTAACATACTTTCTAGTGGGACCTGGCAGTTCTTCAGCCAAATTTTGCTTTTTCACATGCTCGTGGAAATTGTGCACTAAGTACTGTGTATGCACCAAGTGCAAAGTGATGCAAGATTGGGAGAGTTAGAACTTCAAGTCATGTGTTATTTAAGGAACTTGAGTTGCATGATTAGTATGGGCTCTATGCTAAGATAGTAGCAAACATGGAAGATTGATTGATGACACTTTGATGACTGAGGAGGTCCAGTCACCATATAACAGGATTAATGTGATGATGGCATGAATAAAAAGATAGAGTGAGTCGAGTCAGTGTTGCTGACAGAACAGTGAGGGAGGAAGGGAAGAAGAATGGAGGAGGTAGTTGTGTCCAACTGGTATTTCAAGTATTCAGAGTGAATCAGAGGTTAGGCTTCTTCAGCTGAGGGAAAGAATAGAGGTGGTGAGAAATAAACAAAAACTACTCTCACCAAAAGACTCAATAGCAAACAGTTTGAACTAAAGCGAAATGGAACTACCATAAGAGTTTGAGGTTTCAGGAGCAAAGGATATTACTAGGATTTAGCCCATTTGTGTTAGTATGCGGAGAGAGACGTCACTGGAAATACTTCAAGTGTTAAAGCTAGTTTAATCAGGCAATTACTTACCAATTGAAAATAACATTTTCTGGTGTCTGTACTTTGCCCTTAAATTTAGTCTCTATTTCAAGTCAGCATTTCTACGTGCTGGGGGCAATTGTTAGTGAGCCTTGCAAATTCCATCAGTTTTCTGCTAAAGGAATTTAGTTCATTTTGAAGGAAAACTTTACCTTTAGAAATAAATGTTGCAAAACTGCATTCTTGTTCGTTACTCTAAAAGAAAAGGCCCTCTTTTTTTTAATAAGCCGTGGTAAGGTTTAGATGGGGGGGATAGCTCAGTGGTTTGAGCGTTGGCCTGTTAAACCCAGGGTTGTGAGTTCAATCCTTGAGGGGGCCACTTGGGAATCTGGGGCAAAATCAGTACTTGGTCCTGCTAGTGAAGGCAGGGGGCTAGACTCGATGACCTTTCAAGGTCCCTTCCAGTTCTAGGAGATGGGATTATCTCCATTAATTATTATTTATTTAAATTTTTTTTTTTTAGCATGTCAAACAAAAGTTCCCTTTCTCTTGAGCAGAAAATAAACTGTCTTGTTGCTGTGGTAATGCAAAGTGCGCGCGCACACACACACAAGTTTTTAGTCCACTTCAAGCTGAATATTGAACTGTGCTCAGTTTTGGACACCTCAGTACCTGAAAGATATAAACAGGAGGGAGTTTAGAGAAGAGAAACAGGTGGGACAGAGAGACTGGTAGGATTGATTCATGAAAGTATAAACTGCAGATATTTTGTTATTTGGTAAGGGTGGGGAGATCTTTGCTGGCGACACACCTTTAACGTGTGTAAGAGGCAGGTTTTTTTGTTGGGAGGAGTGAATCAAGAGGTAAAAATCAACATGATGGGATGAAATTAAAGAGGAAAATGTAGGCTGAACCGGAAAATCTTATTTAACAAGATCTAATGGACTTTGGAATAGCTTCTCAGGAGAAACAGGAAGTCCCAGAGCTAGATATTGCAAACTAGAATACATGTTAGGCAGGGTCTTGTAGTGAACAATCCTGTACTTACTTAGGGATGGGCTAGATGTACAAATAGGCTCTTTTCCATTTATGTTCCTGATTGTAAACATTTCAATTTGGTAACCCTATTTTTGTCAGTAAGACTAATAATTTCTCTAATGTTTGAAAATATAAACTGTTTTAATTCCTTAAGTAGTTAAATGCAGGAAAACTATTAAACTTTTTTTTTCTCATTTGACTCAGTTGTCTGTATCACCAGATTCCAGACATGGTCATTTCTTTAGTTATAACCTGTTTTTGAAGAGGACACCATCAAATGGAAATATGCAATTTAAAACAGTCCCAGGAAAGAAGAGGATTTTCAGTACACACAGTCTTAAAATGAAAATTTTCAATAGTGATGTTTGCTAAAGTAAAAGTACCTATCTTTCCTTCATTTTGTTACTGGGTTGTTACCGAAGACTAGAGATGTTTTTGTGAAGAAAAAAGAAAAAAAATCTTATGTAATAGCTGTATGTCGCACCTAAAGCAATTCTCTTACTAAAAGGTACTTATTCTATTTAGTTTTAGATTCTAGTTTTGTCCTAGTAAATTTTGGTGGCAGTCATGGTAAATGATGAAGTCATATCTTGTACGGTAATCCAGCTAGAATCAAGCGTTACATTTAAAGGCATTTGGTCGTCGCTCTGTGACCTTTTAAACAACTGTTCCCTTTTGGGTCTAAATGGATCTTTTTAATTCAAACTCCCTCCTCTCCCCAAAAATCTGAACACATCTTTGGTGTGTTGTAAGGTGTGCCTTGGTGTTACCATTTCTTTTCCTTGACTTGCTTTGTTTTGGACCATCCTTGGGTCTGGTACTGTGTGCTGCTGATCCCTTACTCTGAGGGGCCCCTCTCCACCTCCACTACACACACTATGACTTTCACATCATTTTCTGTTTATAACCATGGCTCTGTACAGTTTTACCTCCGTTGCTGAATGGCATTTTTACTGAGTGGCGTTCTAACACAGTTTAACCAGCTAGCCTGGATGAAGTCAGTGTTATAATCAGGTTCAGAAACTGTTCTAGGATCAGTCTCTGCTTGTAATAGAATGTCTTTTGAATGTGTTTGTAACGCGACTTTAGAAACATTCAGCCCCCAACCATTTAAAACTGTGCATAGTCATCATGGTTGTAAAACTGTTAGAAGCTAGTTGTGCAGTCAAGGCCTTATACTGTGCAGTACTGTAGGCTGCTATTTTAAGACTTTAAATTTCATACTAATGACTAACTAGTTTGCCCACTGTCCTGCATGTACAAGTCCCATAGTACCAAGTCAGGTACACTTCATATTTAATATCAGCCACAGAAGCTATGGCTCGCTCATGACAAACATTCATCTTCACTTGGTGTATAAGTTACTCATTAGCAAGAACTTTATATGCAGGTTATAGCAATATTTTTGTTATTTTGTCCCTTATGAATGTGAAAACTTTGTATGATTGTTTTTATTCTAACAAGCCAGATAAGCCTCTGTGACTTTATGTAGATAACTTTACTGCATTATAACAAGAGGTTTTGTACATGTTAAAGTATACTGTATATAGTCGAATTGTAAAGGCATGTGACAGAGAAACTGGATAATCTGAAATTAAATGTTTTAAATGTTAATTTAAATACTAAAATAATTCATTCTTTTTGTGTTAGGACCTGTATTTAAATGAGATTCTCACTAAGGCCTTGCCAAGACTTATGCACATGCTTAACTTTAAGGACATGCGTAGTCTATGCATAGGTATTGGCAGAATCGAGGCCTAAATCTGGGTAAACTCCATTCAGCAGTAAAATCAGAGCTGAGTTATACATTTAGTAGCAGTAGTAACTTTCAGGATACCTCAGTGCTATTAATTTAGGGAAAAGTGTTTGCATAATGTCTACTCAGTTAATGGCAACAGTTTAGCTTAACCATTAGTCTTTTATTTGAATAGGTGCCATTTAAAATGGCCCAGGAATCTAGGGCTCTGATCCTGTAATGATTTCTGCATGGCTAGACCCAAAGCTTTATGTGGGTGTAGGATCAGGGCCGAAGGTCTTATAACTTTAAAGAAACACTGAGCTTCCTAGCTTCGGAAACCTTCTTATAGTAAAAAGTTGGCAAGAGCTAACAAATCTGCACTGATTTTTGTAATGTTGTATTTAATAAAATGTTCCAGATACAGGTTTCTGCTGTATGTATTTTTTCATCTCTTTTGAAATGGAAATGCAATCATTGCATTAAAGTGCTGATTCAATAAGGTGCTTAAATACCCATGTGCAACTTTAACTATTGTCTTCACATCCTCAAGAACCTTGCCATATTGGGGTCCACATCTATAGGATTTTTGTTTTGCTAGTCTAACCAGTTTTAGTTTAAAACATACTAGACACCGTTTCAAGATTAGCTTGTCAAAATCTCTGTCCAAGGAAATGAGGGTGTGTAAAGCTTATTTAAGCTACCTAATGTCTTTCCCCACCCCAAAAATAGCTTTTATAGCACCTCTCATCAAGAGCATCACTCTTTACAAGCATCATCAAATAACTCAATCTGAATAGATTCCTAAGTAGATTCACATCCTATACTTGCTTAAGTTCCTATGCCAATTTTGTGGTTTTACCCCATTTTGCTCTCCCCTCTTGCCATATGAAAAAAAACAGGAGAAACTGAACACATACACACAATGCACAAAGACTTTGTGACAAAGTAGACTGAGAAAACAAAAACAAAATCTTTCAGTTAATACCTAATAGGTGGGGTTTTTCTTTTATCTGTTATTGATAGAAAGCAGAAGTAGGCAGTGTCCCTCTAATACCCTTTAATGTGGTCAAGAATTTCCATCTTACAGATGGGGAAAGCTTTTGCAAAGGTTGGATAACTTGCTTATGGGTACACAGTAAATCAGCTGTGGAGCTGGGTATACAAACCTGAAATCATAACGTCGTGGCCATTGCTCCAACTACTAGATAATGTGTATAACAGCCTAGGGCATATGATCACGATTTCTTCAAGTGGCCAGCCCCAATCACTACATGAGCATACATATGTGATAGGCATACAGAAGACTTTTCCGTTGACACGTGCAGTCTATATGGTTTTATAAAAACATGATAATAAGTAAATATAA